GGGGGGTCCGGAGGTGACATCCAGGCGTCGTCCCGGCAGAGACTGCAGCCCGGCCCGGGTGTTGTCCAGGCGCCCCTCCCCGCCTCTGGGACCCTCCCACTTCCTCTGAAGACTCGGCTGCAGTTAGGCAGTAAGGAGCCGGGCGCCCCGCGCGCAGTGCAGCCTCCAGCCTCCAGGCTCCGGGCCCCGGGCTGCAGGAGCCGCGCCGAGCAGGCTGCCGCTCTGGCTCTCCGCCCCGCGGCGCCGCCCCGCACCCGGCACCCGCCGCCGCGCCCGGGCCATGGACCTGCCCAGGGGCCTCGTGGTGGCCTGGGTGCTCAGCCTGTGGCCAGGTACGTGCCTTCCTAACTGCTCCTTGCTGCTCGCGGCCCCTCGCTCGCCCGCCAGGGCTTCGGAGCCGGACGCCGGGCGCCGCCCTGGGTCGGTCCTTGGCTGCTCGTGGGGACGTGAGTCCCCAGGGAATGGCCTGCGACTAGTGCCTTCCCAAGTTCTGCCAAAGAGGAACGGGCGCCGAGGCGACTGGGAGCGCGGAGTTGGGTGTGTTTGGAAGGAGTTGAGGGTGCTTTCGCTGAGCACCGCCGTGGGCCGGGGCTCCTACTGGGCGCCCTGGGGACTCCGAGGGCCACGCCGGGGTCCCCCGCGCCGCCGCCGGGGGTGGTACTCGGGCGTCCCCAGAGCGCGGACCGTGCGCCACCCAGGCTGAGGCAAAGGAGCAGTGGACGCTTCCTCGGCGGACTCCGGCCCGGGGTGGGGGGCTTGGGACGGGAATCCCCAAGTTTGGATCGATTGCCCAGAGCCCCCTGGGTGGGGGCTCGCGAGGGGATCCCCGAGTTTGAATTGACTGCCCAGAGCCCCTCCAGCGGGGAATCGAGCAAAGCCCCGGACAGGCTGTCCGGTGGCTGTGACCAACCCTCGCCGGCCGGCTGGAGACGGGGGCGCGCCACCCCGCAGTGCGGAGCCCCGGGGAGATGTTAGCTGACACCCAGGGTAGAGACCGGCATCGTGCTGGATTCGCCCTCGGGATTAGGCAATTATTTAATCATCTGGGGGAAGCCGCTGCCTCGGGAGGCGCGCGCCACAGCTTAATGTACTCCAGGTGTCGGGGCGCAGGAGGGACCTCCAGCCCCCTGTTCCCGGCTCTGGGGCACCCCGGCCGAGGTCCATCTGGTACGTGGGCGCCGCCACCTGTAACAGCACCGTTCTACAGACAACGAAACCGCGGCTGATCCCTACCTGCCGTGGCCAGGTGCTTGGGTGAACTGGCGGGGGAGGGAGCCTAGCCCTACCTCCCCTTCTGAGGGCCCCTGAAGCAGGGACTGAGGCCAGTAGTTGGGATGACATAGGGCATGACTGCGGTGGGAGGAAGCCCCCACGCCAAGCTCCCGGATACCTGGGGCAAAAAGTGCCACTTCCAGTCTGCCACAGAGGTTTCAGGATGCTTAAAGTTGACAAGCCCTCCGCTGGTGGGGTGTTGTTTAGGGTACCCTGGAGCCACCGTTTACATCGTGCTTCAGCTTTAAGTTGGGGTGCAGGCCGGGTTCTTTAAAGGCCAGAAACCAGCAGCTGGGTGCTTCTAGGCAACAGGGGAGATCACGTCAAGAACCAGCTCCAAATCTCGAGATTCTGCCACAGGGTAAGGTGGGGGGGGGGGGGTGAGGGCACTCCTGGTGACTGGACAGAAGGTGGGCCCAACAGAACTCAAGGTCCAACTTCTGTTTCAGGGGACACCCACAGTCCAAACAGCAAGGACTTGGCCATCAGGCCTGGGTTCCAATTCTGGCCCCAAGGCTCTGCAGCTGTAGCTGTGTAACTTTGGGTTACTTATCCAACCTCCCCAACAGGTCTCCTCATCGGTGGAGTGGAGATAAGATGTCTTGAGTCCACAGAGTTGTGCAGATGGTTAAGGGAAGCATTGTAAGAAATATCCTTAGCACAGGGTGTAGCATGCAGTGGGGTTTAATCCATGCTTGATACCAAGCAGGGGCTTTTGGGGAGTGGGGTGGGGCTAGGGGGTATTAAATAACCTCTGAAGTCAGGATGTATGTGCCAGAGCTCCCTTTAAAGGCAGAAAAACACCCCTGAGTTACATCTGGTCAGTTTGACGTCTTAAAATGTGGGATTCATTAGACATATCAATCAATGTTGGAACCACATCCGTTTGCAAGGAGCTGGGGGCAGGGTCTCAAGCATGTATATATACCACGTGGACCCTGTCTGTAGCTGAAAGCAAGGTCTGACCAAAGAGCCCAGGTGGCACACTGGTTAAACACTTGGCCGCTCATTGAAAAGTCAGCCGTTGGAACCCACCAGCAGCTCTGCGGGGGAAAGGCCTGGCAATCCATCCCTGTGGCGGTCCCTGTCCAGCAAAACCCACAAGGTCACTATAAATGGGAACCAACCCACAGGCACACAACACAGTGACCATGCAGAGGCGTCAAAGGGCCCGGGGAGTGGACACAGGCCTGTGAGCAAGGGGGGCTTCCTCGAGAAGGAGACTTAACTGAGGTCTTGAAGGATGGATGGTGTGCGAGGGGCTTCAAAGAACCCCTGCTTATACTTTAAAACAGAAAAGTGAATTTTTTTTTTTTTAATCACAAAGTTGGCTTTGGTCAGGTCCGAAGATCGGGAGGGGTCACTCCCCCAGCTCTAAGGCAGGATTGAGGTAGATCTCTCCGCCCTCATCACAGAGATTTGATGGGAAGATGACCAGGGGTTTGCCTGCTGGGGCAGCACAGTTTGGCTGGTCAGAGGCTCCAGATGCATGCCCATCACAGCTAACTTGTGAGTGAGCCCTCTCTGAGGCCTCTCCCCTTCCCTTCCTCCAACCACAGGCGGATAAAACTAACAAGAAATTCAGAGAGAGAAGGAAACTGATCCAGGCCCTGTATAACTGACTTTCTGAGAGAGCAGATTCCTTGATCAGATTTTACTGTCATACCACGTGTGTGATGTGGGCACGAATGCTGTAAAACCTCATTCTCTGCGGAGCATCTCCCGTCTGCCAGGCTGGATCCGGACACAAGCTGGGATCCCAGGCAGTGTGGGAGTGAAGGGCCTGGAGTCATAGTGCCTGTGATGGGGCTGGACTTTGCCAGTGAGGGCTCTGTGTTCTTGGACAAATCTCTCCGTGTTCTTGCTGAATCTCACTATGCCTCAGCTTCCTCCCCCTGCTAAATGGAGACAACAATAGAATTAGATCGTTGTTGCAAGGATTCAAAGGGCAAATGCACCTCAGGTGGAACGTGTCTGGCCCACAGTCAACAATTCGCACGGCTGTCTTTCTTCTCCATCGCCTTCCCTTCATGACTGTCCCAGGTGCTGACCACTCGGGAAGGGATCTCAGAAGGCACAGAGATGTACATTTTAAACTCAAGACCGTAAGATGTGCTGGGGCACTGGAGACACACGAGGAGGCTCCAAAACGCTCCTGGGAAAATTCAACTAAACGATCATAGGATGTTTGCACAGACTTCTGAAGCCTTGTCATCCACGTCAGGCCCCTAAATCAAGCACACTTTCCTAGACCCCTCACCTAAAGAGCTGGCCCAGTGTCTGGGCGGGCGTGAGAACCCTGGGACTGTTTGCTAGAGATACACTTGCTGTCTGCATGCTCTCCAGGTAGACATTGGGCGACCTTAGAGAGGAGTGGGACCCTGACTATACCAGCTGGGGTCCCACTCAACAGGAAAACATCATATGAACAAAGCCTAGATGAGGCACCGTGGGTGCGCAGACTATGAAGGTCCCAGCCTGCCCACCAGCTCTGTGGGGAAGCAGGGAAGAAATAGAAGTTTGTCCCTTTACTTCCCCTGATGCCCACCCTGCTGGAAGCTTGCCAGCCTAGCCCCCCAGCTACAATCAGCTGAAAGGCTTCTGGCCCTTTGATAACACATGCAGACCCTCAAGTTCTCAGGAGATGTTGTGGGGACCCAGCTCCCCGGCTGCTTACTCACCAGGGTATCATCTGGACGGCACCATGGAGCCCTAGACACGGGGTGGGGGGGTCTCCTGGTTATGACATCTTCCCCCCTCCCACGGATCTCAGGCAGCTCCTCCGTCAGCCTTGCCCTCTCTGAACGGCTTCCTCCCCTTCCTTTGGTGGAAGCTTCCACCTTCCTCTCCCAACTGCAGGGACCTTCCCTCCCACCCTCTCCTCCCGTGGCTTATCGTAAAACCATATTCTGAGCAGAGGTGGCTCTTGCGATGTAGGGGGCAGTTTGGAGAGTTGTTAAAGCCCCCTTTCTTCTTGGCGGTAGGGGAGTGGAAGCTGAGCATCGCTCCAGGACCACTGCCAAGATAGGTCCATCCTTATCCTCCCAGGCAGGGGCAGCTTCCGGATGACTCGGGGACAGTCGGCGACAACACAAGCTCAAAGGCAACACTGATACATTGCAAAAATGGTACCTCTGCTGCTCCTCCTGACTAGAACGTCCCCAACCCACCACTCCCACCACCGCCGCAACCCGAGCCACCAGCGAGACTTTGGGGGCATGGAAATGGTCCCCAAACAACGGTGGGCTCCCCGGACATCCCCTCCCCATCATACACACAGCACAGAATTCTAAAGCCTCCAGCCCCAGGGCCAACCCTCCACCCATTCCCACAACCAGTCCATGGCTACACCTGCCCCACCCTCAGTAAGGGGTGCCTGCTATAGGGCGACTGTGGACCAGAAAGGGAGGGTCCTCATCCACGTTGTGTGAATCTTCACTCTTCGCGGTCTTCGGTGATGGCCCTGAGGTTTCTTTCCAGTGGCAGGGAGAGACCAGAGGCAGTCATCCTGTACCCAGCATTCAGCGAGCCCGCATACGTTAGGGAGTTCACCCTACGCACTGCTGACACCGAGCTCCGTGGTGCGATGGGTAAGCACTCAGCTGATTCCCCAGAGGTGGGAGGTGTGAATCGTGAAGCCACTCCTCCGGAGAGCAGCGTGATGACCTGCTTCTGTAACGACGACAGCCTAGGGAGCGCTCTGGGTCACGTGGGCCACTGTGGCGAGGAACGGACTCAGCACACGCAGCAACAACTTAGGCCCATGTTAAAAAGGCGTGGGATGGCCTACCGGGAGGAGTCAGTGTGGAATCACATCTCCACATGACAGCCCTCTCCTCCCTGCCTGTCTTTCCTTTCCTCCTTCACCAAATGGCAGGGTCTGCTCACGGACTCGGAAACCAGACTCTGGGCCGGTGCTTTTCTTGCTGAGTGAAGCTGAATAAGCTCTGGGGACAAAGTCTGTCCCTTCCACCCCACTTTCCTCAGCTGCAAAGTGGGGAGAGCGGTGACTGCATGGCTGGCGTGTGGGTTACGTGACTCCCGTGTGACTCATTCAAGC